ATGCCACATATGAGGTGTCAGATTGATGCCAGACTGTACAGGAAGTAGACCGTCTACAGGAAGAGCTGCCAGGGGCTGGCCAAGCAGAGAGGGGCCGGGGGAGTTAGTGTTGAGTGTCCGTGGAGTTTCAGTTTAGGAAGAACAGATAGTTCTGGAGATGGATGGTGGTGCCGGTTACATGAAGCGTGGATGTACTTGGTGTCACCGAACTGAATGCTTGTACGGACTGATACCCTCCCCGTGGGTCCCCTCAGCCCCCACCCCCTTCCATTGCTCCCAGTCCTCAGAAGAATGCAACGTAGAACCGTTCATGGAACGTGTCAGCTTTCACACCCTGGGCCTGGGGTAGTCACGAGTTGTGGCCGCTGCATCCTTCTCCCCTCCCTCCCCAGCCCCTCCCACTGCACTCACCTGGCAGACCCTTCTCCTCCCGGTCTTGGTGGCTGCTCCTGCAGGAAGCCCTCAGCACCTGCTGCCTTCACAGGGGGTTTCCAAGCCACCCCGTGCGTCCCCTATCGTGGCTCGTAACACACTGGATTAAAACCACTCCTTGGCTTGTCTTTGGAGAGCGAGATGCATGTCTTGCGCACCTTTGCATCTCCGTCAGGGTCTGGCGTGGGGTCCGCCTCAATGACTGTTGATTGAGTTCAGGAATCAACCTTTCGCACTACGGAATTGCCTCATTTGAGAGCTACAGGACTCTCCATAGACTTCGATGCGTTACCCGTGGTCTCTGGCAAATCAAGCAGCAAGTGATGTTAGAGGAGGGAACAGAGTATAAATGCGAGGCTACCTAATATGATTAATGAGGGTGGAGATGTTCGTGCAGCTGACCGTGGAGAGATACCATAAATGGAAAACTTCTGTTCCCGGGAATGAGCAGTCGTACATGCTGCACTCTTTAACCACGATCCACCACCAGCAGAATAAAATAAAAACCCAAACCTAGAGGAAACAAGCAGGATTATCGATACAAAATGGGGTATCAGAAGTATGGAGAGAAATTTCAAACTGTGATGCAAATGTGTATGGTTACGTGCGAATCTTCTGGCTGGTTTTCTGAAAGAAAATGCACAGTTCCGAAACAGACCCGAGAAAAATTAAGAAGCTACAGGAGTGATGATGGAAGGAATCCTTGCTGGCATTTTGTCTACAGTGTTTGACAGTGCGATGCCTTTCAAACTTGCAAGAGATCTACTCCGACAACATTGAAAACTTGGAATCCTACTTAATTAATTTTGTTTAGATGTTAGTATCTGTTACTAAACGATGACCCGGATGACTGAACGAAGGAAAATAGAGATTTCTAGGCTCTGTGTCTTGTCTTCACTTTGCCAGACTCTGGCTGATTCTTTTCACCTAATCTCTGATTTTCAGCAAATTCTCAGCTGGTGAGGTCCCTTCAGCTGGTCTTCCAGGAAATACTTACTCATATTCCCAGAGTCTCCTTGATTTTGTCCCTCTTGGTCTCTGATTGGGGCGCGCTGGGTGGGAGCGCGTCCAAATTGTCTCGTCTGGGACGTCCATCACCCTCACCTGGCCCTTTCCCAGGCTTCTTGCAGCGCCCGGGCTTAAAACCACGCGTCCCCCCATCAAATCTGAGGAACAGTAAGACAAAGAGGATGGCAGGTCGACCCTACGTGTGTCTCATAATTCACTCTACGGCCAGTAAACTGTGATGCAGAGACAAATCCACTTCACACACCTACTTCACTGGTTCTTTCTTCTGTAAATGGCTTTGAACTGCAGTCATTTAGATTTCCAGCAAATTACAGTGACCTCGTTTCATTTGTTAGAATAAGGGCATTTTTAAAGCAAGGTAAGGATTGCTCACAAAGAAAGCAGGGAGAGAAAAATGTCCAGAACTTCCTCTCACTGCGATCCAGACTAACTTAAAATATTATTCTGTGTTCACTCTTGGCTGAGTTACGCTGCAGAAATCCCAAAGTCTTCATGGCCAGCGTGAGGGCTTATTTCTCTTAAATCACATGCCCTTTGTGAGCTGGCCCCATGTTGTATTTTTTCCAGGAGCCAGAATGAAGGAGCAGCCCGTACTTGGTGTGAGTGGTTTTGTGACAGAAGGAAAAAAAAATGGCAGAACACAAGATGGCTCTGAGACTTGGCTCCAGACATCCATCATTTTCATATGTGACTTTTACCGGAATTTAACCGGCCAAAGCCTTCCATCAGTAGGCCGAGAAATACAGAACCCTTGCATGTTGGGGAAAGAAAGAACAGGAAATAATGAAACCTATTACAGCCCACACTTCTACTCAGAAATACTCATTTACCTCTCTTCAGCCACAAAATACACTCCTCCCTCCCCAAGGGAAACACCCAAGAACCCCGTCCAATGACAGCATGTAAGACCCGAGCCTCAAGACTTAGAATCTCATGATGTACGTTAAATCTGGTTGTGGCTCCTCCTGATCTGGAGACTTTGTAAATGAATGAATGAATGAATGAATGAATGCATAATCCACCACTGCCACACTCGACATATAAGGGCAGAACAGACTCAGGCTAACCACCCGCAACCAATCCCATCCAGAAGGAAAGAGAAAGAAAAGATGGCAGACACACAGCATTCAAAATTTTAGAAAAAATTCTACACTCCTACTGAGCAGACCTTGGGGTGAGCACCGTTCCTTGGTTGGACCCTAGTTCCACTCCCTGGAAGCCGCTCTTGCGTTCACTGTAGGACTTCAAGCCCCGTTCCCGGCGTCCGCACCCAGGACATCCATCCTTCGCGCCGCTCGGCTAGTGCGCGTCTGATGAGGGCAGTGGATGCCAGGGCTTGCCTGGATCCTCGAGAGCTTGTTCTCCTAAGTGCTCGTTCCCATAAAAGGTTGGGAGCCCGAAGATCACCTTGGGTTTTGAGCAGTCATAGAGTCTTCTAACCCAGCTGTTGGCTCCAGCCCGGGATCGCTGTTTCAAAAACTTAGTCATTTTTTAAAATCTCTTTGCTTTCAATTGTCTTCTGCTGATAGCCACATCCACAGTTATTTCTCTAATATTCTAATAATTTTCTCTAATATTCTCTAACATCCACAATTATTCTCTCTAAACTTAATAACCGGCTTCTTCGGAGAGTCACTTCACACATTCAGGGGTTTTAATAAGGAACACTTAGTTTATTTTGTTATTTATAGCATATCTCAGTTTTATCTCTTCCTAGTTGAAAGTGAGAAACAATTGCTTCTGTCTGTTCTGTAAGACCAGGAATTTCTGGGTTTCTCTATTCCTGGCTTGCAAACCAACCAATTCTTTCCTGAATTCATCTTTTTCCCTAATTTTTTTTAAAAAAAAAAGAGATACAATTCATATATAACATTATGTTAGCTTCCTGTGTATGATTCAGTATTTATATATATTGCAAAAAGATCATCACAATAAATTGAATTAACATCCATCCCCACACATTCTTGTAACGAGAACTTTTACAACCTATACTTCTGGTTTCAAATATGCAATACCGTGTTCTTAACTCTAGTTACCATGCTGTACACTAGATCCCCAGAACTCACTTATTTCATAGCTGGACGTGTGTACCTTCGGGTCCCCTTCACCCATGTCACCCGCCGTCCATCCCCAAACCTGGAGCCCAGCAGTCTGTTCTCTGTATCTGTGAGTTCAGGGGTTTTGGGTGGGTTGGTTGGTTTCAGATTCCATAGATAAGTAAAATCATATAATCCTCGTCTTTCTCTGTACAATTTCTTTCACGCTGAGCTCACTTTGTCTTGAGGCACCCGTCAGAGGAAACCAGTTGCAACTGTTGCTGTTCCCCAAACTTCTTACCTAAAGCCACAAACTGCCTTCACACACATCTGTCCTTCAAGCCCTCGCAGGCGATGACTTACTGAATGCTGAGTTTCTGCATGACGTACATGGGTCTTTAGCTTTCCAGCCTCCAGTAACGTTTTTCTCATTTTCCACCACTTGGCGCTGGAACATGATATTTTAGAAAGTTCGTGGGGTAGCCTCCCACTTCCGTGCATTAATTTTTGTATTATTGGCTTCAAACAGGTTAGCAAACAAGCCCTGAGTCTTTGTGGCTGACCGTGACGGAGGGCTCTCCTTACCCCCATCGCCCTCCCTGCGTGGGGTGTCTGCAGGTCTCTTGCACTTGACCCTTGTTCCGGGGCCTAGGTGGAAGGACCAGCCCCCACGTGGGACATGCTGTCCTCACAGCAGAGGGCAGGCAGCATCTGGTCGAACCACATAATGGCTCTTAAAGCTTTTCCCTGGATGTGGCATCTGTGACTTCTTCTCACATTCCATCGGCCAAGAAAGCGATAGGACCAAACCCGATAGAAATGGAGGGAGAGAGTATAATCCTCTCCTCAGGACAGGGGAAGCTACACTGGCCCTTCGCTTCTCTTCCTCATAAACATGGCTTTGAACTTGCATTTTATCTTGTTAGAACAAAGTATGTACTTTTCCTTGAGATATATCTATTTATTTGGGGGGGCAGAGGGAGAGAGAGAAGCTGACCGTGTACCAAAAGGGGGGCTGGATCCCACGACCCTGAGATCATGACCTGAGCGGAAACCCGGAGCCAGACACGTAAGCGACTGAGCCGCCCAGGTGGCCCGGACAAGATACGTATATGTAAAGCAGGACGGGAATGGCTGTCTTCTTGGGAGGTTTGTCATCGTTAGAGACACGGGCGTTGTCTGACGTGTGACACAACCCCAGGGCATGTGAGGCGCGCTGGGTGTGTGCGGGGGACAGCAGATGCTGTGTGAGTGGGAGGCCAAAGGAGCCGGTGGCATCTTCTCCAGGACTCCCCGCTGCGGCGGGTGCCGCACCCGCTGCGTCCCCGCGGGGTCCCCTGCCACATTCCCGCGTGTGCTCAGAGCTGCAGGTGCCGGAGAAACTGCTCATCGGCTACCCGGCAAGGCTGGGAGAAGCGCCGGGAGAGTTCTGGGGCGTTCGGGCCACGGGCCGTGCCCCGAGCTGGGCTCTTGAGACCGTCTCACCCCTGTCTGTCCCCGCAGTTCGACATGCAGAGGATAACGCTGGAGGAGCTGAAGCTCATCCTCTACCACGCCTTCCGGGACCACCTGACCATGAAGGACATCGAGAACATCATCACCAACGAGGAGGAGAGCCTGCAGGAGACGTCGGAGAGCTGCCAGACGGAGTTCGAGGGAGGTAGGTGCCCCCGCGTCCGCTTCCTCCCCGGGCCGGGCTCGGCGGACGCCACCGCGTCGTCCGCAGATGGAACGTGCTCGCCGTCGGGCTGCTGTGCCTCGGCCGAGAACCCAGGGCCGAGGCTACGGGGTTCTTGCTGCGCAGACGCCACAGGTCATTTACTTTCTTTGTTTTCTTTTTTCCCCAAAACCCTGCATTTTTGCGGGACCTCTAGTGACCCTGTCACTAGCGACCGCGTCGTCCCCCCCGGGGTCCTCTGAGGTCTGGGATTGAATGTTCAGCTTTGTGGTCGCTCCGCGGTCGTCCACTGGACGACCACCATGCCTGCCAGGCTGGCGGCGACTTGGATGGAGTCCGGTGGCTCACTGGGCGACCCTGGCCGCCAGGGCTGCCTTCTCTGAGGGCCCGTCCTTGTCTAGAAGCATCAGGATAATTACCCCCACTTCTCAGGACCCTGAGGAACGGCTGACCTCTGCTCTGCTGACCAAAGGCGCGGCTCAGGAAGATCTTGTCCGTGAAATGACTCCGTGAACTTAACCACGGAGTTTTCGAAGAAATAAGGTTGTCCTGGGGCCAAAATAGAGACCCATGAGAGGCCATTGTGAGGCGCTCAGGAAGGAAAACTTAAGAAGAAAAAACCCACTTACCCGATCCCCTTATTAGTAGAAAGTTCCAGGGAAGCTTAAGAATCCAATCCTTCTTTCCAACTTTGAAAACCAGAACTGCCGCAACAATGCTGACACATCAAAAAAGAATTTTTTTGCATTGTATTAAAACATGGTATCCGGCGACCGGCCATTTTTCACGTGTGGGTGCTGAGCTTCCTTAAAGAGGTCAAAGTGTTATTTTCTGTTCTTTTTTCTGAACGCTTAAAAAAATCAGTGTACACAGTGCATGAGCTGTCACATGGCCACCAGAATAGCGCTGGGCTGTCCGGTCTTGGAGCTGCCGCGGTCCAGCGGCTGAGCACTGTGGCAGGGAGTCTGCTCGGGGCGGGGTTGGCCCAGGTGGCCACAGTGGCTCATTCAGCCCTGCACTCCCCCAGGTCCTGTCTGGGCGGCTTCGTGTGCAGGATTAAAGGTTGTGACAAGAGGAAACAGGAGGAGACGTTCGTGGTTCATGCCCTGATGGGATAAAATTAACTCAAGCCTGGGAAACAGGGCATGGTGGGTGGGAAGGGGCATCAACCTGAGAACAACGCCCCTTCTGAAGACATTCAGATTTAAGTTTTTCAAAACTGCTGTGAATAGCAAAGGTGGTGGTACAGAGGCTGCCTTGGTCTTGGTCTTGGTGTGCATGACCCCTGGGCTGTAGCATCAGTGGCCGTATCTGGAGTGGGAGGCATGGGAGAGCTGGACGGTCATAGTCAAAGCCATTTGCTGCAGGATTTGGGGGCGGTGATGACTGGGAGCGTGAGTGGGGGGAGGGAGGCAGAGATGGGAGGAAAGTTGGGCTAAGTTTTCACTGGCCTCCCCTGGTCCCATCTAGTTTTTCCCGGTTCAAATAATGGAGGCGCCAGGGGCTCCAGCAAACACTCCTGAGGTGGTGGGAAGCGTATTTCTGGGCATTTCGTTTTCCATAAGCGCCTTCATTTGTGGATCACTGTTGTGTTCAGAGAAATGCCACAAGTCTTAGTAATTTGGGAAAGGTCAGACTGTGCACGGGGAAGTCATCTGAACTCTAAGCAGTGTCTTTTTATTGTCCAAGCTCTCACACATTAGTAAAGGAAGCGACTGAGAGGGGGGTTTTCTGAATCGAGGTCTCACCGCGTCTGCTTTAACTGATGCGGACGTAGAGCGCTGACAACAGCCACCATTTCGGAAACCGGGGGGCCGGGGGCGGGGGTGGTAATTGATAAGTTCCAGTCACTGCACTAAATGCTTTAAACTTTGTGGTCTTATTTAGTAAAAGAAACATTGTTTTATAACATTGCTTTTTGGAATGACCTGTGCAACCTTGGTTACATAATCCACTTTGCTTGTGTTCACATCAGACAGTTGTTTTCTGTGTGTGTTTTGTATTTTAAATATTACTGTGTTTGGCCCCAAATGCAAGCTCATTGCTTTGTGGTGAGGTTTTTTCCAGTCTTGGGTAGGATCAGAGTCACTGTTGGATTTATTTAATGCCCACAGCCCTCTCCTTGTTCAAGAAGGGGCTTCCTTGACTGTACTTATGGGCAGAGTTGTCCAGGAAGAGATGCCACATAGGCACTGAGGTCCCCCCAACCAGTGCCCTAGGACTAGAAGAGTCCATTTGAGGCCCCATGGCTGGCCTTGACCTCCTCCCTTCCCACCCAGGGAGCGCTTCTCTCCTGCTCTTGTTAAAACTTTGCTGCAGCAAGTGTGTACCCATGCGAGTGAGCCGGACGGCCACTGGCAGATCCGTGGGGACTGGGAGTCTGGCCCTCCTTTGTGTCAGAGGAAGGAATCTTTCAGAAAGAAAAAACCTAAAAGTGTAGGTCTTTGCCTTAAAAAGATGAAAGGGCACATCCATCTCTGAGCAAGGAAGGAGGTGGTCAGTGAAACTGATGTTGTGTTGAGGGCACCTGGGTGGCTCAGTGGGTTAAGCCTCTGCCTTCGGCTCAGGTCATGATCCCAGGGTCCTGGGATCGAGCCCCACATGGGGCTCTCTGCTCAGCAGGGAGCCTGCTTCCCTTCTCTCTCTGCCTCTCTGCCTACTTGTGATCTCTGTCCGTCAAATAAATAAATAAAATCTTTAAAAAAAAAAAAAAAGCAGCAGATGCTGTGTGGCACAGGGGGAATTTAAAGAAGGTCACATCAAAGAGCTTGGAGCACAGCAAGGTTAGGGTCAAGACCCCAAGATTTGCACAATCTATGTGACAGAGCCAGTGAGACAAGGGCAGGAGACCTTCCACGTGCCAGCAGCATCGTTTTACATCACGACTCTGCTTTCGCTTTTATAGATCCCGGGCCTGAGACTTGTACAGAGGTTCCGTTTCTGTCCAGAGTCAGGACGCAAATTTCTTTCCCTATGAACGGAAACGTTAAGGAGAAATGGGCCAGGAGCCCAGGGGGTTGCGGCCCCATGATGGGAGAGGTTTCTGTGTTTCTTTTTCTCCTTTTCATTTTCCTTTTGGCTTGATGTTGTTGTCTTCACTTGTTTGAGTTTTAGGCCAATGCAGACCACAGATAAATGAATGAACAGGCACGCGTGCGCGCACACAGACACACACACACCAGCTCCTCACACGTTCTGGTCTGCCTTGTCTTTATGGAAGACAGAGCTCCGTGATCATCAGCAAGAAGGAATCTTTCCATCTTCTTCCGGGAAAAGGACAGGAGATAATAGGATGAGACTCCAGGATCCACAGAAGGAAGCTTTCCGGGTTCTCCCAGAGACTCTGAGATGGGGGTTCATGCCACGTGTGGAAGGCACCTACAGAAAACCTCATTAAGGCAGGGAAGAGACTAGAAGAATCCAATTTGAGGGCTCCAAGGGGCACCTTTCCTCTCTTCACACACCTGGTTTCTGGATGAGACGTGACCCAGATTGGGTCAGGAAGCTGACCGGCTCTTACCCACCATGCCCAGTGCTCTGGGAGCACCCACGAGGTCACGGAAGCACCCGGGAGTCAGGGCCTCTCCAGCACGGCCCGTAGCCTGCAGCCAGTACGGCCCCGATCCCGTGAGCATACCTGGCATGACTTTCAGGCACTCCCAGTCCCCGCGATCTGTTTGGATTCTCTTTTTCACACAAATTATACTCAGTGTTCCAAGGTGTCTGTGTTCCCGATTTGTGTTCTAACCATTTGGAAAAATAAACAGGTCGGCGTCCACCAAAGTGCGTTAGATACAAGAGTCTGGGACTCCCACAGTGCGCACCCACCTCCCAGGCTACCTAAGAGTTTCAAGCCGTTGTGCTTCCGTTTCGCCCCTTAGGATTGATCACCAGACACTTTGCATTTGGAGAAGCTCAGGGACACTGAGAGGCAAATTCCTGTTTCGTTATTTGGTTCCGGTTACTGACGCATGTGAAACTGAGTGGTCTCGTGTTTGAATCCGCTACCTGCCGGTCACCGGATCCGTACGCTGGGTTCCCGTAACAGATGATACCGTATATGAAGTCGGACTTGCCACTCCCGTATGTTTACTGATTAACTCCTAGGATACAGTCCAGGAGGTCAAGGGACAGGAGGACCTGCCTGCCCTGCTGGCCAGGCACTGGAAATCTGTTAACCCGGGCAGCTGAGCTGAGCGTGTAGTTCTGCAGCCCGACTGGTAGAGATGGCGAACATGAGACTCGGCTGAGTGGTGTCCTTTGTCCAAAGTCAAATCACAGGGAAGGACTTGAACCTGGGGCTCTCTGATACAGCCCTGCCCTGGCCTCTTCATGGGTTCCTCTGAGTCTTTCGGCCAGATGTGGGCGTTGCAGTCTCCTTGCAGAACGGCGCGCCGTCATTCCTCATTCTGCATTTCGTCACCGGGGAAATCGCATTATATTTGGAAGTTGGGGAGAAGTGCAGCAAGACTGTGTGAGCCCTTTCAAGACACGTCCCCCAAATGTTGTCCCTAAATGGAATGCCAGCTGTCAGATTTTTCTAGACATGCCGACAACACGCACAGCAGAAGGAAGCAAAGCAAAATCATCAACGGAGGAATAAATAGTTCCTGGGAAAGGCATGGCAGAGAGGCTCTGCGCCGCTCTGTGTTGGGATGATGGACAGACGCTTGAGTGTCCGAGGACGTGACACGGGCCAGGCAGACCCCGAGGCATCCCTGTGTGGGTACATGGGTATGTTTCCAGCCCTGTGTACACCAGATACGTGACCCTGGATAAGTTACTAGTTTTTTAAAGATGTATTAGAGAGAGAGAGAAATAGAGAGGAAGTGAGGGGGAGGGGCAGAGGGAGAAAGAGAATCTTCACGCAGACTGACTCCCTGCTGAGTGTGGAGCCTGATGTGGGGCTCGATATCACAACCCCGAGATCACGACCTGGGCCCAAACCAAGAGTCAGACGCTCAATCAACAGAGCCAGCCAG